ATTTTTCTGCATTTAATTTTTAATAAATGTTTTAATAATTAAAAAACTATTATAATGGAAAGCAATGAAAATATGCATTTATTCAAACATCAATAGAAAATGCCAATACATTAGATATTAATTTATATTTAATTATTATTTAACAGAAAAAATACAAAAATTAATTCATAGACAATACATTAAATCCGGAAAATACACACATAAATGAATGAATGGTAATAACAGAGATAATTAAAACAAATTAATTATTTAATTTACATAACAGTCATATTGATATGATAAGCAGTCACTACTTTGTCACTAAACTGATCCGGTTATTAAATAACATTATTGGCCCGATTCATTGTACTTGGCATAACTGTGCGCAACAGGTTTTCCATGAGATGCGGATTGTGGAGACAGTGGATGACCACAAATAGGATGATAACCACCAGACAGGTCACGTAGAAGACGATGACCCAGTGGCTCAGCCACGACATCATCGCCTCCATCATATCCACCACTTTGTTATAATCGGTGCCACGTGTCGGACCTGTGAATGGAGTGATATTTGTTAATCTGATTGTCCTTGGTAGTCAGTAATTAAATTATTATGAATTAGGTTACTTACCATAAGTTGGTGGTGCTGTAGTTGACGGTTGATAGGGTGCGATAGTATTACAGGTGATACCCAGTAATAATGGTGTGATAATAAGTGCTAGTACCAAAATGGATCTCATTTTGCAATCCATTGACAATCGGTTTTAATTGCAATTAACAGATAATATGCTAATCAACTAATTGATCCCAAAATACAACTCGATATGAATAGTCAGTCGATATAGTCGTGTGGTTTATGCGGTATGGAAAGCACACTAAAATGAGTCAGGTCATGGGCGCTGAGTACTAGCATACAACCAGGCTAATATGTGTCTGGTGTTTCAGTTATAATAAACTTCGGTTCAGTTTTTAATAGTAATTCTCATATTAATTATGATTCAATAATATATTTTATATGATATAGTCGTGTGGTTTATGCGGTACGGAAAGCACACTAAAATGAGTCAGGTCATGGGCGCTAAGTAATATGTGCCTGGTGTTTCAGTAATTCAGTAATAATAAAGTTTAGTTCAGTTTTTAATAGTAATTCTCATATTAATTATGATTCAATGTTTTAGTGTTTTATTGACTGGAGTTTAATTCATATATTTATGAATGAATGGCAAAATAGTAGTTAAGTATTACTACAAAAAATAATTCATTGAATTAATTATAGTTAATTTTATAAATATTTGTAAAAATGAATGTTTAAAAAATAAATTTATAAATCTAAATAATCAAAAATACTATATATTAATAGCATGTTGAATAAATTAATTACAATTAAGGTATTGTTTGTAAATTATATGTAAAGGATAGGGGTCATAGGAAATGATTTATCACGGTGATAATGATTGCGAACAATAATTTACATTTGAATGCAATTTCAAGTAATAACTCAAGAAATAACAAAATAATCTTTACAAGCTAATATTTTTATAATTTTGTTAAGAATTTTATATTACAAATTATAATTTTACAAATGACATTGATAATTTAACTGTAATACACTTTATATGACATTGCATAATTTATTCAATAAGTAAACAATTAATTTGAAATCATTATTACAAAAATGGTGAATAAAATATTTACTATACCAAACTATACCTAACTATACCTAACTATACCTAACTATACCAAAATATNAACTATACCTAACTATACCTAACTATACCTAACTATACCAAAATATCACTTATATATTATATAACTTAATTAGCGTTATTGTTGTCATTGGGTCTTAAAATGCTTAAAATGTATGTGGGTAGATCTGGATTACGGTGACAATAGATGACCACAAATATAATAATCACGAGAACGTGGGTCACATAAAAGGTGGCTAACCATCCGTTCAGCACAGATATAATCGATTGTATCGGATCTATTAAGCGTTCAAGATCTTGGTCATTTATGTGAATTAAATTTATTAATTTAATTATACTTAGTATAAATATAAATTTATTATGGCCAGTTTATTTATTTACCTTTAGGTGGTGGTGCTGTAGTAGATGGTACTGCTGGTGGTGGTACTGCTGTAGTAGATAGGTGATACCCAGTGATACCCATTTAGATGGATATAATGATAATGCTTGCTGATAACATTGCTTAATTAATTTTAAAGTTAATTCCTAACTAATACTTATCTCTCATTTAGCTGTCGTTTTAATCATGAACTGATTGTATAGTATAAAGATCTTCATAAACTTCGCTCTACTGTTTTACAAATTATTGAGCGAGTAATGAACGTCGATTTTAGATATGAGACCGTGTGAATATCAAGTAATACTCCATCGGTACTTAATTGTTCTTATAAGACATACAGTAGTTCTTATAAGTGTGATATTGGTTGGTTTGCTGGACCCATAGTCAGCGCAAAGATGACTAATGTTAGAAAACTATGAAGTAGTGGTTATGGTAGAGGGAAAACTATATTTAAATTATATCAAATAATAATTATAAATATATCACGTGCTTTCTTACAGTTGATCTTTGAACATGGCCAATTCTACCATAGAGTGTCATATGTTTTATAAATTAAATAACATATTTGAAAATATTTTATGCCTATCATAAGCGCTAATGAATTCTAATAAGGATAACACCAAAAAATTTTAGAAAATGTTAACTTTTAGGCGTTTTATTAAGAGTTTATTAAATTTATGAAAAAAGAGTGACCAACTTGATAAATTTTTAGAGAATTAGTTAATTTTATATTTTGTTTGTTAATTCA